CATGTTGTAAGGGAGGGCTCTTCACGCTGGCCATGTAGCTTTCCCTTCAAGGATCCATTTAGTCAGTTTTTACAGTTGACCTAAGCAGAAAAGCCTGTCAGACACCTAATGCACAAAGAATTGAAGAAAAACTAAAAACTACGTGTTTTTCTCCTATATTAGCCTCTCTACATGAAGAAAAATCTATGACCCTTTTTGGTAATATTATTTTAAATCATGGATCTTAAGACCTTTTACCCACTTATAGAATCAATAACTTAATGAAATACTTAAATTATTCCAGGAAGATTTTTTTTTATTTTAATAAAAGAAGCATAATTACATGAATCTACATTAAGAAAATCCCAAGTCTCCCTTGATGAAAATCTATGTCCTCTGGGCATGGTGGTGCACACCTTTAGTCCTATCACTCAGGTGGCAGAGGCCAGCAGATCTACAGAGTGAGTTCCAGGTCAGCCAGAGTTACACAGAGAAACCCTGTCTCTGAAAACCAAAACCCAACCAAGCAACACCCTGTGGCCTTTTGTCAGCTATGGGAGGGAAAGGAAAATTCTAAGGAAAGATCGTAAACCAGGAGGAAAACCTGCAGCCAGGCTGTTCACTGGCAACAGTCCAGCAAGTAGCAACCCGTCCTGTGAGGCTACCACGTTGACAGATGTTAGGAGATGACTTGCACTGAAAAACTATGGGGAGAACAGTTGGAAAAAGCACAAAGCACAGAACCAGCTTCCAGAAAAACAAAAAACAAAAAACAAAAAACAAAATACAAAAACCAGCTTATCAGACAGCAAGAAGGAGAGAGGGCAAGGTGCTAGGGGGTGGGGACTCTCAATTGGAGAGGGGAATCTCTCACTTTTACACTTGGAAGCTGTGTCACCTCTGTGAGCAGAAATGTCACAAGCAGTGGTTCCTCTCCCTGGCCCCTCTTATGCTGCTCGTTTGGCAAGTGAGGCAGCACACAGAAAGGATGGCTTGGCCAATAAGGAGCTTCTGACCGTGGTACTTAACATTAACACAGTCCCAAGGAAAACAAAGTTAGTACTGGCCAAGCTCCAGTGGGCACAGAACGTCATCACTCAATGCATTCCTAAAAATCTAATTCTGTATTGAGTCAAAATAAAAAAAGAAAACAAAATGATTACCAAAGATACTTTCTCAAAGGGAAGCCTTGGATACTGACATAGTGGCCCCTTGTCCTTTGCTATTTCAGGTTACAGAATACACAGGCCCATTTATGTGTCTCATAAAGTGGGATGTAAATTATCACAATCAATAAAATCGAGCCACATTTTCTTCAAGCTGTAAGATAAAAACCCTGTTATGTTGTCATGTTTCTTCTGGGTAGATAACACTTGGTGATAGTAGAGGAAAAGCCAGCGCCCACAAAGACAGGGTGTTCGGCACACACATGGGTGTGCGTACATGGATGTGTAGTCACACATATTTGCACAATACATGAGTGCACGTTTACAATGGCCTTCAGTGATCTCTTATTTTTAAAGGATATCATTTAAAATGAAAGACTGAATTCAACACACCCTTTTGAGGTTAACTTTATATTTACTACATTGATGATTTTTTTGCAAACTTTTGCTGCTCACCAATAATCCTAATCATAACCATATACACGTTAAAAACTAACAGTACTAATGTTAGCTTGGGTTATCTTGGCACGTAAAACTCACCATTAGTGTTTAAGGCACATTTTATACAGATGTTAAAGCATCCATGGTCTTCAAATTCACAATGCGCAATTGTTTTTCTTAAACATGTATTTGCGATGATTTTGTAAATTATGCAGGGCATTCCAAGGCGAACTTCCAGGACTCAGTACAAAATACCCAAGGTTATATTGTAAGATAAACTCTTGTCACGAATTGTTTCTTTTAGATACTCTCCACCCCCCCCCCTTGGGCAAAGGGTTTGTTTTGTTTACCCACTTCGATCAGGATTCCTAGCCTGCCCTTTCTAGTGGCCCTCATTCTGTCAGTTGAGACATGACGTGCGGGTGCTTATTTGCCCTCGACTTTGAAAGTCACAAAGGCCACGTAGATACAGAAATTCAAAGCAGTAGTTCAAGGGCATCTTTAGCTTGGCTCTGTGCCCGCAGCCGCGCTCTTAGGTACGGCGAC